AGCTGGCACCACAGTTCAAAGACATACTGAGAAGCTGGTGTCCAGAGGAGGGCAACTAAAACTGCTGGAGGCTGGAAACGAGGGAACGTGGGCGGTCTCGATTGAGGCCGCGTCGCCATTTTCCGGTGCTGTGCTGCTGCCCGACGGCTTGTCGGCGCCTGACGGCTTGTCGCCGCTTCGCCGCAAAGGGGACTGGCTTCTCCATCTCGCCTATCCTCTGCGGCTCAACTGGCTCGACTGGCTCTCCACCATTTTGCCCGGCCGGCAGGTCGCTGCTCTGAGGCCCTAGAGCCGGGACGGGGGAGACGCCGCCATATTACACCCCGGCCTGCAGTTAAACAGCCCCACAGCGTGGCAGTGCCCAAGTTCCAGCCCTCATCGCTCTGGCCCCTCATCGCCCCAGCCGGACCCTCCATCGCTGCGCTGCTAGATAACATCGATTGGTGCGGATCGACAGCCTCGGCGCTCCTCCTATCTGGTCTGCCACCTGCGGATCGATTCCCTCGGCGCTCCTTCCATTTGGTCGGCCATCTACCTCGGCACTCTTTCCACCTGGTCTGCCAACCGCCTTGGTGCTCCCTCCATCTGATCACCGGTGCTACTCTAGCTGGCCTTCCTCCATCTACTCACCAGCTGGACCCCCCTCGCGCTTTTTTTTTGCGCTCTTCGTAGGGCGTTGGGCCTTGGAGGGCGAGCAGTGGCCGTTCGGCCGCACTATCACCGCCCGCCTGCCTCCTGCCGATCCGGGGGAGGAAGGAAGAGTACGAGGCCGGCAGCCTCTTGTGTGGACTGTTTTTGTGTAGACCTTTCTGTGCTGACCTCTCTTTGTGCTGACCGACATTGTGATAGACCTATTGTGCTGACCACCGCTGTGTTGACCATCTCCGGAAGATTGTGAGACTCTTCCGCTACTTTACACCATCCGTCCATAGATTACATCTTGAATCAGAACTTTACCAAACTGATATTACTGCCAATCTCTTTAATACCGTGTTTACATATTGCTAACATAGCACGTTCCGTGTCTACCTTGCTGCTAATTGGTACTAAGAACGCAATATAGCACCTTAAGGCGCCTGCCTATTGCTGCTAAACTGCACTAGCACTTACGCCCCTTTCCTACCCTCCATGCCGCACTTTAGTTAGCACTGAGAGCCAGATTTGGGTATTTGTCGCACTTTAAAATCTTTGCACGTTAGGAATTGCCCAACGGCATGCAGTTGTATTGCTGACTGTGTTGCACTTTAAGATCTGCACTTTACAAACTTGCCAACTGTTGTGGCTAAAACGCTCAGTATCATCGAGTTTATCATTATCCATGTGGTCCCCCATTCCCCTATTTGTGCTGTCCTTGCTATTAGTGACCAGTGGAAAGGGCAAGGGAGGAAGTGGGCTGGAGCCTGTGAACAATAATGAGGCGGGGAGGGGGGAGGAAGGGAAGCAAGGGAGTTGGCAAGGGCCAACAAATCAAACATCTAGCGAAACAGAAATTAAGACCTTGGTTTTGGACTGCGGCATGGAGGAGGGGAGGTGTTCCACTAGCCGAGGGGCCCCCATAGAGGTCGTGGTGGGGAGGGGGAGATGCGGAAAAAGGAGACCTCAAATTCGGCCTAATTCGGACCGCTTAACATTAATAACCCTAAACCGGTCTCCTAAGGTAAATTGGTGTAACCAGGTGAGCGGGCCCTCTGGATTGAAGGTGGTGCTGCTGAACGCCAGATCTGTCAACGGAAAAACGACCTTCATCCAGGATTTGATCCTGGATGAGCGGGCAGATCTGGCGTGCATTACGGAGACCTGGTTGGATGAAGCTGGGGGTGTGAATCTGACCCAGCTTTGTCCTCCAGGTTTCTCCGTACAGCACCAACCGAGATCCGGAGGACGGGGAGGCGGGGTTGCAGTGGTCTATAGAGATTCCATCCATCTGACCAGGAGCCCCATCCCGCAGACCACAAATTTTGAATGTGTCCACCTAAGGGTGGGTGACCGGGACAGAATAGGGATTCTGCTAGTGTACCGTCCACCTCGCTGCACTTCAGTCTCCCTACCTGAGCTAGCGGGGGTAGTCTCGAGCCTGGCGTTGGAGTCTCAACGGCTTTTGTGCTGGGAGACTTCAATATCCATGCCGAGGCGACCCTCACAGGAGCGGCTCAGGACTTCATGTCTGCCATGGCAACCATGGGGCTGTCCCAACAAATATCTGGCCCCACCCACTGTGCTGGACACACATTGGACTTGGTTTTCTGTCAGGGATGGGAGCAGGGTGGCGGTGTGGAGGAGTTGTCTATCTCTCCGTTGCCATGGACTGACCACTTCCTGATCAGATTTAGGCTCACTGCACCCCCTAACCTCTGCAAAGGTGGAGGACCCATTAAGATGGTCCGCCCCAGGAGGCTTATGGATCCGAATGGATTCCTGACGGCTCTTGGGGATTTTCCCGCCACCTCGGTAGGTGACCCTGTCGAGGCCCTGGTCGCTCTCTGGAATGGAGAGATGGCTAGGGCAATTGACACGATCGCTCCGGAACGTCCCCTCTCAAGTAGCCGAGCTAAACCAGCTCCTTGGTTTACTGAGGAGCTGGCAGTGATGAAGCGAAGGAAGAGGGAACTAGAGAGCGTGTGGCGTTCGGACCCAAGCGAGTCAAATCGAGCACGGTTTGTGTCCTTTTTAAGGGCATATGCCGCGGCAATAAAAGCCGCAAAGAAATCTTTCTTTGCGGCTACTATTGCGTCTGCAAAGAACCGTCCGGCGGAGCTGTTTCGGATTGTCAGAGGTCTTTTAACTCCCGCCACCTCAGGCGGGAGCCCTGACAATTCGGTCACGCGCTGTGAAGCATTTGCTCGGTTCTTCGCAGACAAAGTCGCTTTGATCCGTTCTGAGCTGGACACCATGTTAAATGCAGTCTCTGTGGATGTGACACAGAGCACCTGCTTGTCCTATTTTGATGGATTCTTTTCAGTTTGTGAAACCCGAGGATGTGGACAAGATACTTGGAGGAATGAGGCCCACCACGTCCATCCTAGACCCCTGCCCATCCTGGCTTCTGAAGGAGGCCAGAGGGGGATTGGCTGAGTGGGTAACGGTGGTGGTTAATGCCTCCCTTCGGGAAGGCAAGATTCCAGCATGCTTAAAACAAGCAATTATAAAACCGCTGTTGAAGAAACCATCATTGGACCCCACTAAATTTGACAACTTTCGGCCTGTTTCCAATCTCCCCTTTTTGGGCAAAGTCATGGAAAGCATGGTGGCCTCACAACTCCAGGTATTCTTGAGAGACACGGATATTCTGGATCCGGCACAGTCTGGCTTCAGACCGGGACATGGTACCGAGACGGTCCTGGTCGCCTTAGTGGATGATCTGCGCCGGGAGCTAGACAGGGGGAGTGTGTCCCTGTTGGTGCTCCTGGACCTCTCAGCGGCCTTCGATACCGTCGACCACGGTATCCTTCTGGGGCGCCTTGCGGAGATGGGTCTTGGGGGCACTGCTCTGCAGTGGCTCCAGTCATTTCTGGAGGGTCGTACACAGAAGGTGTTATTGGGGGGACTCCTGTTCAACACCACAGCCTTTGACCTGTGGCGTTCCACAGGGTTCTATACTGTCCCCCATGCTGTTTAATATCTACATGAAGCCGCTGGGTGAGATCATCCGGAGTTTCGGGGTGCGGTGTCATCTGTACGCAGATGATGTCCAACTCTGTCACTCCTTCCCACCTGCTACTAAGAGGCTGTCGAGGTCCTGAACCGGTGCCTGGCCGCTGTAATGGTCTGGATGAGGGCGAACAAACTGAAATTAAATCCAGACAAGACAGAGGTACTCCTGGTCAGTCGCAAGGCCGAACAGGGTATAGGGTTACAGCCTGTGCTGGACGGGGTCGCACTCCCCTTGAAGGCGCAGGTTCGCAGCTTGGGTGTGACCCTGGATTCATCTTTGAGCCTGGATCCCCAGGTTTCAGGGGTGACCAGGGGAGCATTTGCACAGCTTAGGCTCGTGCGCCAGCTGCGCCCGTATCTTGGGAAGTCTGACTTGGCCACGGTGGTACACGCTCTGGTCACATCCCGCCTTGATTACTGCAACGCTCTCTACGTGGGGCTGCCCTTGAAGACGGCCCGGAAGCTTCAGCTAGTCCAGCGCGCGGCAGCCATGTTACTAACAGGAGCGGGACGCAGGGAGCACACAACGCCCTTGTTGTCCAAGCTCCACTGGCTGCCGATATGTTACCGGGCCCAATTTAAGGTGCTGGTGTTATCCTATAAAGCCCTAAACGGTTCCGGCCCAAAATACCTTTCGGACCGCATCTCGGCCTATGAGCCCACGAGGGCCTTGAGATCGTCTGGGGAGGCCCTTCTCTCGATCCCGCCTGCCTCACAGGCACGTCTGGCGGGGACGAGAGAAAGGGCCTTCTCGGTGGTGGCCCCCCGGCTGTGGAACGCCCTCCCTGTTGACATCAGACAGGCGCCCTCCCTCATGGCTTTCCGTAAGAGCCTAAAGACCTGGCTATTCGAGAAGGCATTTAATTGAGCGCTATACAAGCTGGTAATGACAATTGGAACGGAATATGGACTATGAGATTGGTTATGATTCTATGTGCGACGATGCGGATTAGCTTAGCGTAAATTAGTTTAGCGTGTATTAGTGAAATGTTGATTTTGTTGTGCTTATTGTATACTGTTTTTATATGTTGTACACCGCCGCGAGTCGCCCTAGGGCTGAGAGCGGCGGTTAACAAATGCAGCAAATAAATAAATAAATAAATAAATAAAATCTTGATGCCACTAGAGGCTTGCTTTCTCCTGCAGAGATGAACAGCTGCTTCAGTTACATTTGTGATTATGTTTTTCAGAAAAGATGGAGCATGTGTATAAAAACGGCCATCAGTCACCAGCCACTGCACCAATGTGAAGAGGTTAAAGCATTGCCTGGGCAAATTTCCCATTGACCAAGCAAATTTCCATCAGGAAAGCAAACACTGATACAAAAGAGAGGATAAACATTTATTTCTTATATATTTTAACTGCTAATCACATTTATTACTATTAATTATCAGCTCATTACAGAAATGATGGAGACCAATTCCACCAGCATGACTGAATTCATCCTCCTGGGATTAACAGACAGGGCTGAACTCAAGAGTGCTCTGTTTGCAGTGTTCCTGATCATGTATTTGATCATAGTGGTAGGGAACCTAGGCATGATCACTTTAATCAAGGTCGACCCCCGGCTACACACCCCTATGTACTTCTTCCTCAGCCACCTGGCTTTCCTGGACTTCTCTTATTCTTCAGCCATCATGCCCAAGGCACTGATCAACCTTTTAGTTGAGAATAAAACCATCTCATTTAGTGGCTGTGCAGCCCAGATGTACAGTTTCGTTGCTTTTGGGACAACAGAGTGCTTCCTTCTGGCTGCGATGGCCTATGATCGGTATGTGGCCATCTGTAAACCCTTGCTGTATAATGTCATAATGTCCCGCCAGCTCTGTCTGCAGCTCCTTATTGGTTCTTACATTTGTGGTTTTGTGATTTCAATGATACACACAGGCTGTGCCTTTCGACTCTCTTTCTGTCGCTCCAATGTCATCCATCATTTTTTCTGTGATGTGATACCACTCCTCAACATCTCCTGTACTGACACCAGAGTGAATGAGATCATTCTTTTTGCCTTCTGTATCTTTAACGGGGTTTTTATCACACTGGAAATATGTATTTCTTATATCTATATTTTCTCTGCCATCTTGAAAATCCACTCCTCTGAGGGCCGGCATAAAGCCTTCTCTACTTGCACTTCACACTTGATTGTTGTTGCCATGTTCTTTGGGACAGCCGTCTTTATGTACATGCGGCCTAGTTCAGCTTCCTCACCAGACAAAGACAGGGTTGTGTCAGTATTTTACACTGTAGTGAATCCCATGTTGAATCCTTTGATCTATAGCCTGAGGAACAAGGAGGTGAAGAATGCCTTGAGAAGAGTGTTCAACAGAAAGAAACATTTCTCAGTACAGATACATTCTAAAGTGATTAAAACAACTGCTTAAAATGGATAGTCTGCATCTGTTTTTTCCACAGCTATAGAAAGCTATTATTGATATAACCAACCATTGATATATGTAAACATTGACAGTTTTTCTTTATTTTCCAAAGCGAACTTCGCACATCATACACAAGTTAATGATTTTGTTGTTTATTCATTCAGTCGCTTCCGACTCTTTGTAACCTCACCAGAGAAAAGTATAACAGGAACACTAGTGTCCTATTAAAATTTGAAGCTGCAGAAGTGATAAAAATAATGGCACAGTGCACACAGAATTCCAGTTATGTCTAGCTCCCCCTTTCACATTTTTCTGTCCCTTTTACTTTTCAAAGCCCAAGAAAATGAGCTTTCAGATGTCCTTCTGAGAACAGATAATATCACCAAATCAAAAGGTGATTCTTCTCCATTTGCAATGTCATCAAGACCAGAAGGGATGGAACTAACCCTTTATATGCTTTCTCCACAATACTTCTGGGCATGTTCCATGGATTTCTGCTCTCCCTTTCAAAAATGGAAGCCAATCAGCTCTGAGGTTCCATATTATCTGGATTTTCACAAGATCTCCAGAAGTACATTCGCTTATGTAATAACCCACCATAACTTTATTTTGTCTTCCAGGTTCTTCTTCGTCTTCTCAGTGCTTCGAAGAGCCATCACTTTTGGGTGTCATAATATTGTACCTAATGTTGCCAGGTTTCACAGCATTGCCTGAAGTAATGGGGAATTTCTCTGTTTTTCTGAGTTGCCCGGCATTGAGACATATCTCAGGATGAATAATGCTGGGGGGAAAGAAAGGCTCAGAGCCAGGGATTCAGTTTGTCTCCAACAAGGATCCAAAAGGGGCAGGTTTGACTTTCACGCTATATAGGATATATAAGCTTGGAGCGTATTTGTGTTTATGAGGGAAAGAGTAGATTTCCAGCTCTGTTTCTGCTCCTCTCCTCCTGACTACCAAAGAGTAGGAATAAAGACTTAATGCTATTGTGTGTCTACATCTTTGTTACCTGGAGCCTCAAGACAGACAAGGATATGGAACAACAGCTGAAGCAGGTCTCCACTCAGGATGGGGCTACATCTACCACTCAAAGCAGCAGTTGATCTTGATTGGTATGTGGTGACCATCCGGTGGGTGGGTGGCTCTTGCTAGAATGGTCAGCACCAAATTTTTTGTATCACTTTTACTGAAAGCTGCATCTCTTTTTTGAGAGAGAGAGAGAGTGGGGTATAAATAAAATAATATCATCATCATCATCACAGCCTTGGAAATGTTGATTGATGAGTGTCACCACTCTGATAAGGATCCACTAAAACTGGATCTTAAGTATTTTGAAGTATTTGCTGAGAGTAAACTCACTGAGGCTAAAATTAAACCATACATTGGTAAGGACAATACATTGATAAGGGCCATACATTGATAAGCCAATTGATTGCTGAAACATTACAGGAATGGGATTTGAAATGGGAAACCTGTCTTGGCCAGTCACCTTGTCATTTAATTAAATCCAATGGGAATAAATCTAATGGGTTGTTTGAATTATGGAAAACAGAGAAAGGCTATTTGATTGTGCAGATATGTGCATTGATGTGGAAATGACTCTCTCTCCTCCAGCCACTGCAATTGTATGATTGGACTCAAACCAATACAGGAACATGTGTGCACCACAGAAACACCCTATTGTACCAGTGTGACTATATAATGGGGTTCCTATGTGGCTTCCCAAACTGATAAAACATGTACATGTGTTAGTAAAGGAGTCAAACCAGGATAGGGTACCACATAGTGGAACTGGGATACAGTCTTCATGCAGATTCAGCTCTAGATCCTAATTCAGGGTGTTGTAAAATGTAACAAAGTGCAACCATTGCACATTTTCTTCCACACTCACAAAAGCTACCTTTTACCTGTTGCAGCCCACCTCTGACACGGCTTTTTATTAGTGGGTACAGAAAAGAAGGATGACAGAGAAGCATTCAGCCATGTTCTTATAGCTAGATGAACATTCCAGAATTCCCAGGGGATTTCATTGTTTACACCTCAAGAATGTGGAAAACTAAGAGCCATAAGTTTTCTAGTTATTTCTTATTCTGATTTATTAAACAACCCAGAGAGGAACAAGCTGAGTAGGTAAATAATGTGCTTTTATACCAAGGAGTATGGGAAAACCCTTTTATGAATTCCATCATGTTAGATGTCAGCCAGTCTCCATTTAGATAGAGTGTGCACTGAGACAGATGACCTAGATCCATTTCAGTCTGGTTATTTGGGAACTTTAGTGAAAACCTTTCAGAAACAACAGGAGTTTGTCTCCTTGGTTCTGTTGGATCTCCAAGGAGTTCTCAGTATGATTGACCTTGATCATAACTCTTGACTATATCTATGAGATGGGATTGGGAGTATTGTTTTACAGTGGTCCCAATTCTTCTTGAAGGGGCTGATGATTCAGAAGGCAATGCTGTGAGGTTACTGATCAGCCTAGTCATTGGCCTGTAAGTGTCCCATATGCTCTTCAACAAATAAAATTAAACCCATGATTACCCATAGTTTATAAGTTTAATTGTTGGTAGCACACATTTCTATGCCTCCTTTCCATCTAATTTCATGGAAGTTGTCTCAGTTCTAAACCATTGCTGTGCATCTGTAATGGAATGAGTGAGGACAAACATATTGAAGCTTAATCCAGTTGAGACAGTTGAAAGTCAGATCTAGGAAAAGGAATCCAGACTGTGATGGATAAGGTAGCCCCATCCTAAAGACAAGTTCATTATTTGGATTTATTCATGAATTCAGCCCTGAGCCTAGAAGTCAGGTTTCTGTGGAGCCCAAGAATGCTTTTGCATAGTTAAACTGCACCTAGTCCTGGTCCTTGGCATAATGACACATGCCTTGGTTACATTCGGTTTGGCTTATTATCATATACTCTAAAGTCAGTCTGCCTTTGAAAAAGTATACAGAAACTTTAGTTGCTCAAAGAGCTACAACCAGATTGTTAACTGCAACTAGCTATGTGGAGCATACAGCTCTGTTGTGGCCACAGCTCAACTGGCTGTTGTTTTTCCCAGAGCAATTCAAAGTGCTGGTTGTTACCCATAAAGCCTTTCACGATCTGGATCCAGGCTGCCTAAAGGACCACCTTTTCCTATATGAGTCTGCCTGAGCACTAAGCTCTTGGAGTGAGATCTTTTTCTCTGCCCCCCAGATTCCCAAGCAGATTTTATGGTAATTTTATGGTATTTGCTCACAGGCTTTGAAACTCCCTCCCTAAGGAAGTTAGCATGGTTCCCTCCTTGCTGTCCTATAGATAACAAGCAAAATTTAAAATTATAACAAACCTTCAGGAACTGTGATGTACTTTCCATGGTGTGCTGTCATACTGATTTTCCATGGCATTTTGAAGCAATTCTTTACTGTTTTGTTTGTATGTATTTCCGTCTGTACATATTTTATTATTTTGTAGGCAACTTGAATCCTACTTTTAGGAAGATGGTGGAATATAAATGAATATATTACAGCAAACAACAACAAACTATTGATATTTATAGTTTCAGGTCCTGCTCTCCATCATCCTGCCCAAGTACATATGGTTAGGTGATGATTTGTACTTGTTAATTCTATCCAGGTCCAGGTAAAGTTACTTCAGCAGTGGTCAATTAGAACGGCTTTTCAAGAAGTTGGAACTATTCGGTGTTTCAAATCTGTACTTTTGACAAACAATTTTCACCTGCTAAACTTAATAAGCCACAAAAGGCAAGGGTCAAACATGTGATGGTCAGGTAGTCTTGACCAAACACCTTCTCTGTACCTTCAGATATACACAAAGGGTGGTAGTACTTAGCAAACAAAGCTTTCGATTTATTAAGCATTTTTAAGAGCAGTCAATATAACAGTTGAATTATTCAGAAGTGAAGGGGTTTGGAGTACAGAGAATAAAAAGAGAAATAGTTTAAGGCCTATTAGAAAAGAAATGCTATTTCAGATTCCAGTAAGCTCAGTACAAGTGGCTCAGGAAAATCAGGAGGGACAGATTGGAACATATTTGGCAGAAGTAACTTATGGCAATTATAATCTACTGCTACTGTTTTCTCCTGCTTGGTCTTTCCAACACCAATGACCTTTGTCTTCAGGTAAATGTTTTGAATTGAGTGGTTGCCAAAGAAGGCTCTTTTAAGAGAAGGAAGCTGTTGCTACATACATGCAGGTGTATGTATATATTTATTCCAATTTGTTCCTAAATTGTTTTAATTCAATTACATGTTCAGTTTATTTATTTATTTTTACTGTACTCAAAAATATATTCAAAAACTGTGCACATACATCTTCAACCCTACCAAATAGGACTCATAGTGTATCTACACTGTAGAATCAAAGCAGTTTGACACCGCTTTAACTGCCATTTATTTATTTATTTACTTACTTACTTACTTCACTTGTATACTGCGTTTCTCACCCCGTGGGGAATCAAAGCAGTTTCCAACATATTTATGGCAAAATTTAATGCCAAACATATATATATAACCTAACACAGAGCAACCATCACATATAACTATCAATTAGTTCATAAAAACATAACATTTAGACAATCGAAACATGGAGTTGAAAGCATATTAATATAAACATTTATTTATTTATTTATTTATTTATTTATTTATTTATTTACTGTATTTGTATACCGCCTTTCTCAGCCTATCAGCGACTCGAGGCGGTTTCCAACAAAACAGTATACATAGTATCACAACACAATTTAAAAACATTACATAAACCACAACAGCAATAAAAAACATTAAATCACATAATTCAGAAATCATGTTCCAAAACTGTTCCAAATGTCAAATAGCAATTGAACATAATCCCTGATCATTCATTGTATTGCTTAGTGCCCAAAGGCTTGGTCTCATAGCCAAGTTTTTACTTTTTTTGGCTTAATGTTATGGAATCATGGCAATTATAATTTTATGAGATCTTTAGCATTCTTTGCCAAAGAGTGCTGGTGTCTCACCAAACCGCAACTCTTGTGATTCCATAGCATTGAACCATGGCAGGAAAAGTAGTCAAATTGCCTTAATTCTATAGTATATGGATGCATCCTCAGTTTGATGTTGACAGTAAATGAGGCAAAAGTAGCGAGATCACAAGCAAGGTAGGGTTCTCCCTTTCCTCATTTCCTCACTAAGCTTGACCAGGGCAGCCTTTACTTCTTGATTTCTCAAACTGTAGATCATGGGGTTCAGCATGGGAGTAACGATGCAATAGAACACCGAGATAGTTTTCCCCTGCTTGGGAAAATAGTGGGATCTGGGCCTCAGGTAGACAAAGATGGCTGTCCCATAGCACAGGCTCACCACCATTAGGTGGGCTGTGCAGGTGGAAAACGCTCTGTGTCTTCCCTCAGCTGATCGGATGTGAAGGATGGTTGTGAGGATGTAGACATAAGACATTACCACAAGAATAAAGGGTATGAGCAGAATAAGCGTCCCAGCTCCCAGCATGATTGCATCCCCAACAAAGGAGCTAGAGCATGCCAAATGCTGGACAGCTAACACTTCACAGACAAAATGGTTGATGGTCTTCTTCCCACAGAATGGCAAATGTAGAGTGGACACTGTTATTACTACACCACTCACAAACCCACTGAGCCAACACTCAGCTGCCATTTGCGTACACAGCCCCTGACTCATAATGGTACTATAATGCAAAGGATGACAAATGGCCATATAGCGGTCATATGCCATAACAGTCAACAGGATGAATTCAGTAGCTCCTAAAGACAGCGATATATACATCTGTGTCATGCAACCTACAAAGGAGATGGTTTTGTGATTTGCTAGGAAGTTAGACAGCATTTTAGGGATGACTGTGGTGGTAAAGCAGATGTCCAGAAAAGAGAGATGGCTCAGAAAATAATACATTGGAGTGTGCAAGTGCATGTCCCTGCTTACCACCAGCATGATGAGCATATTCCCTGCAAGGATGACAAGATACATCACTAGAAAAAGAGCAAAAAGGCATTTCTGGGTTTCTGGATGAGTGGACAAACCCAAGAGGAAAAACTCCATATTCCATGTCTGATTGATGCTTCCCATGTTATATCCAGATCTGCATATTTTCTGTAATAATGGAAATCAAAGTATAGAAGGAAGGAAGGAAATTACTTTACTCTCTTGTCTCTCTTCATTAACAACAAAATAGTGACCTTGCTAAAATAGGTCGGATATCTCCCATGTGTAACATTATGTGTTCTACAGTTGCCAAAAATGCAGTTCTGAGAATCTCCCAAATAAGACTTGAAACCTTTTCACACAGGCTGTTGAAATTGTCATGTGTCGTGGCAAATCTGGCAACCACTATCGGGGGGCATGGGACACCTGTTTCCCCACAACCCACATTGACCAGCTTACCTTTAAGCTGATCTCAGGGGGGAAAGCGTCATGCAACTTGCCCCATTCATCCTGGTGCAACACAGGAAGCCTCCAGTGTTGCCGCAGCGATGACATACACCAGTTCCTCACTAGTTGACCTACGGAGCACCACCGGAAGTTCTTTTGCATTATATTGGGAGCCGGTGGGCTCTGTGGGTCAACTAGGGATGAACTGGCATATGCCACCAAAGTAAGCTCCATCTGATGAGGTTGTTGATGATAACAGCCTGGATTTTGACAGATATCAAAATTTGTCAATGGGCGTCTAAACTGTTAATAGTTCCAAATCTTACGTAATTACTCTATGATTTTTCTGTATGTTTTTCCTGTCTACAATAATGTTTGACCTATAAATTAGGCACAGTAAGAGATCAACAACAATAACTAATAATGAAACAATATATTGAAGCAAGTCATATGAACGTGGCATGCAATTTAAAACTTATAAATTGTTTAATTCTGCAATTTTTCATTTAATATTTTCAGACTGGTTGACTGCAGATGAGCTAAACTACAGAAAAGAAGGAACCACTATATGTAATCCAAAATCAAATGTCTCAATTAAAACTCAAAAGATGTCCAAAATGAAGCAGGATCTATCAAAGCACACCAAATATGGATTAAACACTTAGCAATTTCAAAGGGAGGAACACGGGGCCATATACAGCAATTCCAGACAGTTGCCAACTAAGATGTTCAATTACCATGTGAATATGGAAGTGGCCAAGACTCCCGATTCATTCTAGTTTAGTCCCTCTCTTCATGTACATAGCAATAAGTCTGATTAAGAGAGCATCTACATTAGATGCTCTCCACACAATTGGAAATCTGAATTTATTTTATTCTATGTTAAATGTTCTCAGTTTTTTGAAAGTATACATATGTATGATAAAGTTTTCCCATTCAGACTTCTCCCGTTCCTCATGGAGTAAGTAGTACACTTTTCTCTTTTGCAGGCCAATAAGGTGCAAGATGATAAAGGGTCAGTATATGTCTGAAAACTACTGGCATTCTTCCTGGGGTTTTTATATACAGAAAGCACAGCGACTTATCTTGCATTTCTGTCTATCTTGCATTTCTTCTATCACAATAAATGACTTTATCAAAGTTCTCCAAGTCAACTGACCCTATTTCAACTCTTACATACACATGAATACATATCCAGATATACTGCTCATATTCTTCTGAACTTTTGCTAGTTTCTTGAGCAAGCTGACCTCTAGGCTGTAAATAATTTTCAAGACAATTTCCTATAAAAACTGTGGTGGAAAAGTGCACCTGTGTTGGAAATTCTTTGTATCCATACTTCTGCAGAAAATTCCCTGCATCTGTCCTTCTGAAACCTGTAAGATTTTACCCCACCACAAGAGTAAAGTATTTCTGAAAACTTCATCTCATTCTCCATATGCACACACACACACACACACATTCATTCATTACCAGCAGTCTCATTTTGTAAAATATCAAAATCTAAAAACGCAGAGCCCCCAAATCCCATTTGTCTCAAAAATAGCAGGCATAATAGCCTTGTAAAAGATTACAGTGCCTATAAATTTCATCCAGTTTCAACAAGCAGAAAAATATATCGCTGTGTATTGATTTCCAGTGATAGTCAGGAGAAAGAACAGTGATATGGCATTGAACCGGAGTAAAATTATGAGACCTTCAAATAAACCTGGGCTGTTTACTAATTGGGCTGCTCTTCAAATTATTGATCTGTAGTCCAAACAAAATCTTGTGGCCATTGAAGAACCTTAATAAGAACCCAATGCTGCTCCTATTAGATTGTTAGCATTTGTGGCAGTTGTCAGAATTTGTTCAATACCTATTATAAGATGTGTGTATTTGACTGTTAAGGACAGAGCAGGATTAGTTAGGGAAAAACCTAGTTAAATCCTATAGCTAGCAACTACACTGAAAGAATATGTGGAATTAGAGGGAGAATACGAATCAGATTGTTAGGCATAACTGAATGCCTCAGAAGTAAGGTTCTGTTCCTCCCAATATAATATGCTGTAGTTTGCAAAACAATGGATTACGGACAGAAACTCGTGTGGCTAAATAAGTTCATTTTAGGGACACAGGCGGACCTGCTCTGTGCTGGTTCTCTTCATTAGTTAAAATATAGCAATATTCTCTCTCAGAGAGGTTTTAGGCAGCCAGGTCATGCAATATTAAGTAAACCTTAAAAGTACTTCCCCACCTCGGATCTCTTTAAACATCCCCAGATTCCAAAGGCAGTTCACTCAGATGAAAAGCTCAATATCCATCCTTGATCAAGAACCTTTCTAGAAAAAAAAAGTCCTACTTGAATCATCCATCTTTGCCCAAAAGCCCAAATGTTTGTCTTCTGTTTATGGAAGCCTCTTGCAAAATAACTGCAAAACTGGGATTTGCTCTTTTCACTCTCTCAGGCCTATCCCCATCTGTCTCAAATCAAGAATTTTAGCCAGAAAATCAGGATCTGATTCGCTTACTTAAAGTCCCAGAGTGACTTAAGTTCCTTGTCTACCTTGTCTTCTTCTTTGCAATGTTCCAAAAAGGAAGAAAACACTCTGCAGCTTCTCTCAAGAAAAGCCCAATGGCACCAAGGAGTTTTGTTTTCCCCTAAAATTTATCTTTTGGGGAGTATTTCTTTACATAGCTCCTCTCACCAGCCACACTTTTCTTGCATACCTATAGAATAGAAAAAGTATTCATTTGTTGTACTTTTTGAATTTATGCTTCTATCTTCTCCCGCTGCTCTTAGGAACCCTTAAAGCTCAGATTGTTTAACCCTTTGTCTTGCAAATTTTCTCATTCCACTTACTATTTCCCTATCTGGAAACAGCTATGCTGTATTAGCTCATTATTTGTATTTTGCATGCATAACTTGTAATTTCTTTTGGAAATTCTGCATGTCCAGTTTATAGGTCTTTCATAGAAATGGCCAAAACTACCATAACACAGTATGTCTTTTATCTGAGATTCAAAAAGGTGGTTGGAATGAGATATTCATACCTGTGTTCAGCAGTTTGCGGCCTCTAGAATTGCCCAGAAAATATTCTGATATTTTCATCTCATATTAACTCTGTAAGGTTGCAATTCTGTAATTCCCAAAACCATAATTAGAATGTTTTCCCAAGTCTGTGCTTTAGAAAAACAAACACAACTGGTAGTGAGCTAAACATAAACCCAACTGTTTGGCCCTCTACAGTACAGCAGACTGAATCAATTGGAACTTGCTATGTGTTCTACTGTGTTCTATTTCTCTATAATGTTATTTTGAAATTGTTTATTTTATTTTGTTATTTCATGTATTTATTTTGATAGTATTTTTGCTTCTTGTATTTTATTTTGCTGTACTGTAAATTTTGGGCTTGGCCTCATGTTAGCCAACCTGAGACCCCTTTGGGGAGATAGTGGCGGGGTATAAATTATTATTATTATTATTATTATTATTATTATTATTATTATTATTATTTATTACATAAATCCTATTGAAGAGTCCACTGGGTGCCCTTCCACACAGCCATATACCCCCGAATATCAAGGCAGAAAATCCCACATTATCTGAGTGTGGACTCAGATTACCCAGTTCAAAGCAGATGCTGTGGGATTTTCTGACTTGATATTCTGGGATATAGGACTGTGTGGAAGGGTCCTCAGTGGCAGTCAGTGGTTGCCATGTCAATAACATATGAACTCTACTAGTTCACCTCAGACTTTAAAGTACCTGTATGAGGCCCCATCTACACTTCCATATAATGCCATTCCAAAAAGTAATTTAACTATATTGAATTGCATTACATGGTAGTGTAGAGAGAAACCACGTGTGATAGGGAAAGCATCAGCCCTGAGGGAGCGGCACATAGGGTGATGGATTCAACTCGCTGCCCCTGTTACTTTGGCAAAGCCTGGCAAAGCATCCCGCTTCACCTGTCTCATGTTATATGGTTGTTAGACAAATCCATATATGCTTACTTCGTCAGTTAATATGCCAGCTCTGCTCCTACCTAGAATGGAAGTCCAATCTTGAAGTTACAGTGCGTTGCAGAAGTCCAATCTAAAAAAGTAGTGCATGCACTGGTAACATCAAGATTGGACTTCGGCAACGCACTGTACATTGGGCTACCTCTGTACCAAGTTCGAAAACTCCAATTAGTTCAAAACATGCCAGCTAGATTGGTTATGGGAACATCTTGGAGTGAGCATACCACCCCTATACCAAAATCACTCCACTGGTTGCCAGTTAGTTTCCAGGCAAATTACAAAGTGCTGGTTTTGACTGCTAAAGCCCTACATGGTTTGGGTGCAAGTTACCTACAAGATCACCTTCTCCCATATAATCTGTGCTGTATACTTAGGTTCTATGTAGGGTACTTACTCCAACCAGCCAAAATGCGACTGACAACAGTCACCTGGAGGACCTTTTCACTGGCTGTCCCAAGACTGTAGAATGGCCTGCCAAAAGAGCTTCAACTGCTAAATGAGCTGTCAGAATTCAAGATAGAGATGAAGATCTATCTCTTCCAGCAGACCTTGTTGTTGTTGTTGTTCATTCGTTCAGTCGTCTCCGACTCTTCGTGACCTCATGGACCAGCCTACGCCAGAGCTCCCTGTCGGCCGTTACCACCCCCAGCTCCCTCAAGGTCAGTCCAGTCACTTCAAGGATGCCATCCATCCATCTTGCCCTTGGTCGGCCCCTCTTCCTTTTGCCTTCCACTTTCCCCAGCATAATTGTCTTCTCTAGGTTTTCCTGTCTCCTCATGATGTGGCCAAAGTACTTCAACTTTGTCTCTAGTATCTTTCCCTCCAGTGAGCAGTCGGGCTTTATTTCCAGCAGACCTACCCAGTCAATTTTAAACAGTGCATTTCCACTCTATTTGTATTTTAATATATGCATTTATATTTACTTTAATTCTTGCACTATATTTTAACCTATGCATTTTAACTGATGGTGTATTTAATGTATGTATTCCATGGTATGTATTTTATGGAGATACGTTTTGCTCTGCCTCGAGCTATCAAGAGAGTTGGGTGGTAACATATATTGTCTTTGTTGCTGTTATTTTAAATCCTCTGCCCTTGGACCCATATACATAGACATATAATGCAGTTTTATCAGTGTAGATTAATATAATGCAGTTCTGTTCAGAGGAGGTTTGTATTTGTCTTCCTCTGAGGCAGAGAAACTTCCCCAAAGTCATCCAGTGGATTTTCATGGCTGAGTAAGGATTTGAATCCTAGTCTCCAGTCGTAACCCAGCGGCCAAATCACTATAACACTCCTTCTTTAGAGACTTCTGTGACTCTTTAATGGGAGTCACCATATGTCAATAATGACTTGACCATAAACAACCACAAAGAATAATAAAGAAATTACAATACTGTAGCTAATGTATTGTTTTCATTTTACATTTAGTAACTCTAAACAGGGCTGGAACTCACATGACCCTCTAGATATGGTTGGATTGAAACTTGCAGCCACTTGTTATAGTTAGCAAATTTTGCATGCCTAGAACTGTTAGTATGTAGACCTACAGTCTATTGGTTTTTCCACAGCCTCTCTTATATCAGTGGCTCCTGGAGCCTTTTTTTACCTTTCTGCCTCTCTGTCCTCCATCATACTTATATATCTGACCATGCACAAGCATTAGCAATTAAAGCTACTTTTTGTGTATTTCACAAAGAAGACTAAGGGCCCTTCCACACTGCCCCTTTATCATTTTATGCATTTGTTGAAGGGTTTTAATTAATATAGTTTGGGGTACAGTTTGCTGCTGGGTCCCTTGCAGAGCCTCCAGTGGTTTCAATATTGCAAAACTTCAAAAGAGAGGAATATGTTTTAAAAAATAAAGGAAAATTGTATCTCATGTTTGGATGCTCTGATGGTCCAGATCAATTTGGGAGGGGGGTGTCATGGCTCGATAGCATTCCCACAAAGGTGCTTGAGTGGGTGGTGGGACAGAGAGAAAACCCTTTCCCGTTGATTGTAGATGTTTACCAGGTTCACAGAAAAATACGGTCGTTCAGATAATCTGGGCCGGAGCCATAAAGGGCTTTGTAGGTCAAAAGCAGCACTTTGAATTGGTTGGCAGCCAGTGGGACTGTTGCAACAGAGGAGTTGTATGCTCCCTGTATCCAGTCCCAGTAAACAGTCTGGCCAACTGAAGTTTTTGAGCACTTTTCAAAGCCTCACATACAGTGCATTACAGTACTTTTAGATCTTCTTCATTTGTCTGATGTCACGGCTTTTTTGTTTTGTTTTGTATGGTGGGGCAGAGGGGTTGCCTTGATTCCATTTTCTGGTTCTGCTATTAGATTTTGCCTGTCTGTCTTAAGAGAGTGCCCCTTCAACTTCAGCTATGAATCTAGGTGTTCAGTCTTGCCAGATGTAGGACAATACACTTTCTGGCTTCTACTAGAATTATCACACATGGTAGAAACCTGAGTGAAAGATTTCTCATTTTGACAAGAAAAATTTGGAAATATCCCTGTTGAACATTTATATGTATATCTTACTATACATACATTTTGCAAATAGCCATCTTCGGCATATCATTTAACATGTGATAACCAATATTTCTGTTGTCCTTTAAAGATATCACATATCCGCAGGGCACCTGGTATAGAGCCCTTGAGAATGGATTTAATTACTTTGTTGGGTATATACAGCAAAGAATCAGAAGATTGGATCACAAGGGACATTCCACACATAAAAGAGCTCTTGTATGATTACTGCTTTGACATCAGGAGTCTCAATGTTGCCTTGATCACACAGCTGATTGAAATAAGAACTTTACAGATTTATAACGTGATTGTGTCTCATTCTTTTCCATGTGTTTTAATTCTACATTTCATGGAAACTGCAGAAATGGAGGTGAGTCAAAGTTATACTCATTCAGAAATCTAATTAGCCCTTTTTAGCACATACAATGGTTTCTATGTATGGGTAGAACTGAAAATATTTCATCTTTGCTGTCGATCTCTTCCAGAAAAGGTGCCTTACAATAGCATATCTGGTACATATATGCAATTTATAAGAAGTGAGTCCATTATTCTATAATTACTGAGGTGAAACAGATTTTAGCAATCTCTTTAAAATAAATTGCAAAAAGATAGACTTCTGAACTATTTTGTTGACGTGTTTGATTAAGTCTGTAAACAAATTTCAGCCAAGCCAATGTAGTGATAGGGATGTGGTATAAGCCACTTTTTCTACTATTCGGATAATCTTCAGAATGATCTATTCTCCCATTTGACCGCCGAATTCCACAGGAACATAGAATTTTATCTATTCCAAAGAGAAACAGAAGAAGATTGTTTCTTACTAATGTACGTATTTTTCCCAAAATATAGGTGTTTCAATAGCTCAGTCACATAGAAGCAGAAAATGGTCGAAGGAAACCACACAAGAGTGAATGAGTTTGTCCTCTTGGGATTAGTGGACAGTCCTCAAATGAAGCTGATGTTCTTTGTTGTGATATTAGCAATATATTTGGTAGCTCTGGCAGGGAATCTTGGAATTATCCTGTTAATCAGAATTGACCCTCAACTCCAGAAACCCATGTATTTCTTCCTCAGCCATTTGTCCATCTTAGATTTTGGATATTCCTCAGCTATTGCCCCTAAGATGCTGGAGAACTTTTTGGTGGAAGAGAGAACCATTTCCTACAGAGATTGTGCTGTGCAGATGTATTTCTTTGTCTTCTGTGCAAGTACTGAGTGCATACTCTTGGCCGCAATGGCATATGACCGGTATGTTGCCATCTGCAACCCTCTCTTGTACATGTTGGTGATGTCCCCAAAAATGTGTGCTCTGATGGTGGCTGGATCCTACCTTGTTGGCTTTGTGAATGCAATGACCCAGACCATCTCCACCTTTTCCCTCTCTTTTTGTAACTCCAATGTCATCAACCATTTCTTCTGTGATGTTCCCCCTTTGCTAGCTCTTTCCTGCACTGACACAAGCACCAACGAAATGGTGTTATTTGTATTTGCCACGGTTCTGGGAATATTCACATCAGCAGAAATTATGGTGTCATACATATTCATCCTCGGTGAAATCTTGCAGATCCACTCAACTAGTGGGAAGCAAAAGGCTTTTTCAACATGTGCCTCACACTTGGGGACAGTCATCATTTTTTATGGGACAACAGTTTTCATGTACCTGCGACCAAGCTCAAGCTATTCCATGGATCAGGACAAATGGGCCTCAGTGTTTTATACTGTAGTGATTCCCATGCTGAACCCATTGATCTACAGCATGAGGAACAAGGAAGTGAAAAATGCCCTGAGGAGAATCCACATTTGGGAGCTGGTCTGTTTAAGAGACATAAACAATTCATAAATACTGGCACCACAGTCATTTTATCTGAAGTGTACAACACTAGGGGCACCTCTAGATAAGTCAAATGGGTTGTGAGGTGGCTGGAGGTTTTGGTATTTGTTATTGTTGTTGTTGTTGTTTATTCTTTACACACACCCCAAACCAAGACTCAATGTAGGCTACAAAATAAAGCAAACACAACATAGCTTACACATACAGAAGATCAGAGTTAAAGTGAGATCAAACTATTAACAAGAATGAAAACAATTTAAAACATATAATTCAAATGTTAAATAGTACCTATAATTCTTATGGTTTTTAATGTATCCAAATAAAATTGCTTAAACTTTGTTGTTGTGTGCCGTCAAGTCATTTCTGACTTACAGCAATTCCAAGATGACCTATCACAGGATTTCCTTGGCAAGATTTGTTCAGAGGTGGCTTATCTGTGTCTTGCTTTGAGGCTGAGGGAGTGTGAAATGCTCAAGGTCACACAATGGGTTTTCATGGCTGAGCAAGAATTTGGACCCTAGTCTCCAGAATCATAGTCCAACATTAAAATCACTACACCACGCTAGTTCCATCTTAAACTATTCAAAGTGGGGTTTTTTGTTTTGTATTAATTTTCAGACATATTGAAATAAAAAGTCCTCTCTTTCTCTCTCTTTTTGTTTAAGAATTATAGTGCATCAATAAATATGGCAATATAACACATAACTCTAATGGATAGAGGATTCGGGAAGGAAAAAGGTGTCCTTCAGTCCATAGCACTGTTTGAAAACCATTCTTCCAAGTTTAAGAAAAGCCTTAGTGCAGATCCAATAAATTGCTACAAACATCTCTCCCAAATGGTCACATAAACTCAGAACAAACAGGTGCACAGGCAAAAACAACCAGCCAGACACAACTATACTGTGAGAACTCATACTCTCAGACAAATATGAAAGAAAGCCCTAAAAAGTTTTAAGTTATTGGGGATCTGAAATGATCTAAAATGCATACTGTTTATGTGCCGTGTTAGGCCCAAAATGTTCAATCAAATAAGGTAGCCTGGATAGCTTTATAACCTATGTCTTAAGAACTCCATGATATAAAAACGTCTGAAATGTAATTGCTTTGAGTATCTGGGATTAGAAATAAGGGGTTTAGATTTTTGGATTTATTACTGCGTTTATTTTATATTGCACTTAAAGCTAATAGTTGCAGGATGACATCCTATAGATAAATAAACAGAGGTAAGAACATTGTTCCTCGAAAGCACCCAATGTAGACACATGTGGCTACCATGGCTGTTCACTAGTGTCCACTTTATCTTGAAACAGAGAAGACTATTTTGCTGGGACATCGATCTGAGGCACCTTCTACACAGCTGTATACAATCCACATTATCTGCTTTGAACTGGATTACGGTTCATAGCAGTGTAGACTAAGATAATCCAGTTCAAATCAGATAATGTGGATTTTCTGCTTTGATAACCTGTATTATCTGACAGTGTAGAAGGGGGCCTGGAAGACGAAAGAGGATTTCTTCATGACTAAGCAGGGAGAACCAATTCTTACTCATCAAAGCTAAGGACAACTAAAAAGCACTGAAACTTTAAACAACCTAAAGGGAGGCAGGTTATTTAAACCTGTTCTACAACAAAGTGTAGAAATGATAAGAAAAGGTATTTTTGTTTACTGATTTTTATTCTGTAGCTTCCTTTTGAGCATATGCACCTGGAGTTGAGCTGTGCTTTGTGTGTCCAAATGCTATTGCGTTGCAATGTCCTGTTGAATAGAAATGTATAACTGAGCTGTGTTTTATATGCTTTTCAACCCATTGCACTAGAAATTACTTCTGTGCAGATATATCCAGAACTGAGCTTTGCTCTGCATGCCTGGAATTTGTGGTACTGGGGCTTCTGAATAAATATGCAAAATAACTGAACTGTGTTTTGTATTCTTGATAACATGTACATGAAGGTTTATGCATGTATCTATATAGTATCAGCCCACAGCATACCCCCACTCATTTGGGCAAGCATCCTCAAACTGCAGCCCTTAATGCAGCACTCAAACAATAGCAAAAAATACATGATGGACATGTCATGTTTCACATCCAGTTTATTGGCATACATAAAAAACAGCAATATAACTCATATAACTCCGATGCAATGCTCTTGATTTCTGTCATTGAGGAAGGAGGTAGTTAATACCTTCTTGTTCAAGGATCTCTCTGGGCAGTCAGGCCCCTTCCACACATATGAATAAAATCCCACATTATCTCCTTTGAACTGGAATATATGGCAGTGTGGACTCAGATAACTCAGTTCAATGCAGATATTGTGGGATTATCTGCCTTGATATTCTGGGTTATATGGCTGTGTGGAAGGGCCCTTGGTGTGGTTCACTGCTTCCAGGGCAAAATTTCATGGCCAAAAAACAGGTGTTTTTAATCATATGTGGATTCAGTTTTCCAACCAGAAGAAAGTACAAGCCATCACTCTCTTAGAAACCCCCTTGCTGGAGGTTTGGGAGAGCGATGGCTCTTCCTTTATCTCATCTGCAAAACCCTAGGGCAGTGGTTCTCAACCTGTGGGTCCCCAGATGTTTTGGCCTTCAGCTCCCAGAAATCCTCACAGCTGGAAAACTGGCTGGGATTTCTGGGAATTGTAGGCCAAAATAACACAGGTTGAGAACCACTGCCCTAGGGGCACCCTCACCCTGATACCAGTAAGCTCCATCACACTACTAGCATGAGACCTTACAACCTCATGGCATGCAAAAAGAATGCTGATGGAGAATTACAAGAGTCAACCATCATCCAACTGAATCCAGCAAAAGGCAGAAAATGTTCTGTGGCTTTTCACTATGACTAAGATTAATTTCACTGCATGGAAGCAGCCTTTAACAGTCCTGACCAGCAACAAGGTGGGGTGATGGATGATGCACATACGCTGAAATGTTATAAGGAAATGTTGAACCATCTCCTGTTTTAATCACGTCAAAATTAATTTTACATGCACTTTGGGATCATATGCAAATGCATGGCTTGACAGGAAATTATTACAAGGAATAAATAAAATAGGAAGACAAATGTTTTGCCTGTACAGTAACACAGCTGGGAAATTATGTCTCTCTCATTTGGTACATATGTCGCAGAGAGGTGAAGCAGAGAAAGGTGCCTTCCTCTCATTGTCTGAGCTACTAAAATCTAAGTAAGATGAAACAGGCAAAAGTGTCAAGGAAAGGGATGGTAGCAACCACAGAGGGAGATTGATCTTGGGCCTCTTGCAAATGACCCTTAACATCCCTGTGAGACTACAGTCCACAAAACTGCCTCAGTAAAACAATACAGATAAAAGTTTATGGTATCACTTTGGAAAGTGTCACAAAAGCTATGATAGGGTCAATCTGTGCCATTATTTCTGACTGCTTTTTTGCAATAGAAAAAGTATTGTATAGGATCCGTCTGGATAACCCAATGATTCTTGGCACATAGCATTCTTAATAATCCTGACAAAGTTTCCCAATCTCTCCCCTTTGCTAAAAAAAAAAAAAGATATCTTATGTGGTGTCTGTAAAATTGTGAAGATTTATTGGATGCTAATATTGTGTCTCCACTTCTGCTCAATCAGTGCATTTATTTTGAGAAATACTCAAACTGTGGCCCTCCACCTGTTTTGGCCTCCAGCTCCCAGAAGCCTAGCCAGCTCGTTCAATGGTCAGGAATTCTGAGAGTTGGAGGCTCAAACAGCTTAAGGGCTGCAGTTTGAGGATGCTTGCCCAAATGAAAGCAACTTATGTGTAGGTTCCAAGCAATGCCGTGATTTCTTGGATCACTGTATCTGCAAATAAGAATAACATTGATGAAATAAATGCTTCAGACGTCGCATATAATTCTAGTCTCAAATATTCTGATTTTTTTAACTTGCCAACAATTGTAGGTAACTGAGTTGCTGTAAGTTTTTCGGGCTCTATGACCATGTTCCAGAAGCATTCTCTCCTGACATTTTGCCAGCATCTATGCCAGGCATCCTCAGAGGTTGTGAGGTCTGTTTTCCAACATCTGTTTGCCAGCATCTATAGCAGGCATCTTCAGAGGTTGTGAGGTCTGTTTTCTAACAGACCTCACAACCTCTGAGGATGCCTGCCATGGATGCAGGCAAAACGTCAGGAGAGAATGCTTCTGGAACATGGCCATACAGCTCAAAAAACTTACAGCAACCCAGTGATTCCAGCCATGAAAGCCTTCAACAATACAATTGTATGCAAAATAATTGTGAATAGGGAAGCTAGGATGAAACACCACATACCATCTGTTGCCTAGAAGAAAAGTCACCCTTCCAGTGACAGCGATTCTCAATAGATGTGGTTTGCAATATAAATGGCATAAATGCCCTTGGAGTTTGTAAATCACCAGTCAAATATTTGCTGTTTGTTGAAAATGAGGGTTGGTGGACTTTTACAATAAAAACATTTGCTTCTGTATTTACAAATGTCATTTAAGGTTCTGTTCTTTTACCTTGGATTAAATCTCATTTAACTGAGTAGGGCTTAGTCCTGTGTATCTTCTACATTCTTCTATATATCACTTGAGGGGTTAGAAGAGCTTTTGCTAATGTTGTGGTTGTGGGTTTACCATAGGCAACTGATTGAGTATGTGTAAACAGGACATTGCTCTCAATAGCCTAATACAGAGGCCTGTTCCTGTGTGTCTAGGACTGCTCCTAAGCCTTTTAAGCACACACAAAAAAGCCCTTAAAATCATAATTTTAAAAGGTCCTGGCTGTGACTATGGGTAGAAGACATATATGGTCCTTATCTTGACTAACAATATTAAAGATTGCAGTAAAACCAGGGGATAATCAACCATCCCAAATGAAAATGGAGCTTCCACGTTCATATCTTGTCATAATTCCTCCATTGCTGGAGTTAACCTTCATTTATCCCAGCAGCCATTAGAAGCCTAGAGGCTGTTTCAGATAGCTGGCTGTTTTAAATTTCAAGGCTCATTAAACCTTAAATAACTACCTCCCTCAGCAGGCGAAAAGTATTTCTGGATTAATGAGAACCAAAGAGAAATATAATCAATCTTTTCAAATAAAGACACTGCTAGTGTAGAGAGCAGAGTTCCAGAGAAAATGAGTTGCCTCAAAAACAATTCTGCAATTGTGGTTTTTTTCGTATACAATCAACAATTTCGTATACAATCAACAATTGTGCAAGCCGTACATTCACCTGTAATATCAGGTGAATGATCATTTACTCCATTCAAACTGGTATCATCCACATGTCTTTACTGAATATGAAGGTACATTTGAGAAGAGCATCAGATGGAGGAAAAAGCATATAGTCCATTGCAAAAAATGAATTGAATTACCTAATCTTTACCATACCACAACATCACTTGCTGTGCACATGGACATCACAGAGCATCTGTGAGATATTTAAATAACCTAGTTCGCTGTATGCCCTAAAATAAAGTTTCAACTTCTCTGTAAATACTTTCTATGGCATTTAATTTTATCTCTGCCTCCAAGGAACTTGGACATTTCCCCCATCTCCTCTATAGTGCTTTGTTCAAGAACACTATCTTAAACTTCAGAAAAACTAATGTATTAGAGTTTTCAGTGGGGATAATAAGGGTCCCTTCATGGTTTACAGATGCAGTCTTGAGTCTATTCACAAGAAAATGGAACACTGAATCCAATTAGGAGTTAGGACTTGAGTATGTCAAATAAATCAAGGAGGTTTGCATAAGTATTGACACACAATTATTAATGTATGAATATTGCCATTCCTCTAATCTTTGACAGTCCCTAGGGAAGACTATTCATATATTTCTAGAAAAATTCACTAGGCTATTTCTCAGAATAGACCCCTTTTCTATAAATCCCAAGATTCTGGCTAGAATCCTGTTGGTGACTTACAGCATCAGCAGACTGGGTAAATTTAGTGTCCTAGGACACTTTCACCCCATCTAATGGATGGAGCACGACGCCGAACATCACACGATGTTGTGACTTCCTATGTTGTGCCGGCTCCAATGGAGATAGCATGCATCCTCACCAGGAGGGCGACGCTTTCCCCATGCACGTCGCTGAGATGGAGCTACATGCGGGGCAACAGATTCATCTTGCTGCCCTTCCTTTTTCTCCTGGATGTCAGGCAAAGAGAGACACTGCCTGGCCTTTATGATGAGGCACATAGGCTGGATCTACATTGCCACATAAGCCAGTTTCAGAATGCAGATTAACTGCCTTAAACTGGATTATATGAGTCTACACTGCCATATAATTCTGTTCAATGGAGCAGTACCATCTGAAGATATGAAAATCTACCAACAGAGGGTCTTTTAGGTTCCAGAAATTAGTTGCTCTTATGTTTAAATTAATACACATTTTTACAGATGGGCTGGATTGGTGCATTTGCCATGTATAGACATGAGCCTCACATTTATGCTGAGCCTCTCATTCATTTATGCTGTGAATGGATAGATCTCAGAAATCTTCCATGACAGAAAATACTAACACCACGAATCTCATTTCAGTATAGACTCTAAAGCAATCTGAACATAGGCAAAACATTAGGATTAAATATGTAGCTATTTGCCATCACCCCCCCCCCCCTTTTCAGATCTTAACATACCAGTGGATAGAAATGTAACCTGTTGCCCTCCACTGTGGTCCCAAATGGATCACTCTTCAGCAATGTAAACTGAAATTGTGGCAGAATCGTTGCATATTGAAACAGTAAGCCAGAGGGGTAGTTCAAAACCTATGCACATTATAGGGTCCAAATTCAATTTTATGCACTTACCCCAGTGTAAAGGAAGAAATGTAATTACTATCTGTGTCTTTAATCTCAAAAGTTTTTATTTTTACAATCATATTTCAGAAGTTACATTTTTTATCAAGATGGCTTTCCCTCTCCCAAAATCTACACATATATTTATACATAAACACATGCACTTCTAAACAGTGCCTACAGTCATTGTTCCCCATTATGCTATTCTCCCCTTTTCACCCCACTGCAGTGACCTCCCATCCTTTGGGTTGAAGACATTGATATAGAAGCCTTGCCCTTCCTTCCCAGTAAAACATTTGCACATTATTCCCTATAGCAGGAAAATCATCATCTAAAATTACAACAAAAAAATCCAAGAAAGACCATATTATGCAGCCTATTCTAAAACGTTTCCCTTCTTCCTAAAGTTCAGATAGTTCCCATTCCTTAACACTCTCTTTTTCCTCCCTATTCATCATAGCCAATGTATCAACATTCCTCATTCTAAAAACATTCACTATCCATTTTCTTTTTTTACTTTTCTCCCCATGCCCCCCCCCTCACCACAGGTCTCTGTTCCTTTGCCTTCTTCCCCTCCCTTCTCTAATGTTTCATCCTCGTCCCTTCTTGCATTTAGTGGTTAATCTAGTTTCTTCTTCAAAGCTCTCATCACCAAGTCTAATTTCCCTATATAAAGTGTAAAGATATGTCTCTATACTCTTGATCCAAGTCCTCCTCCAGGTCCACCTCCCCTCTTCCCATGAAAGTTTCCAAAGTGCGGGCCTTCCATTTATATATACAGTAGAGTCTCGCTTATCCAACCTTCGCTCATCCAATGCTCTGTATTATACAATGGGGTTGCCCTTGAAGACTGCCCGGAAGCTTCAGATGGTCCAGCGCTCGGCAGCCAGGTTGCTAACGGGAGCGGCACTCAGGGAGCACACCACCCCCCTGCTGAGCCAGCTCCACTGGCTGCCAATTTGCTACCGGGCACAATTCAAGGTGCTGGCTTTAGCCTATAAAGCCCTACACGGTTCCGGCCCCACTTACCTCTCCGAACGCATCTCCACCTATGAACCGGCGAGGACCTTAAGATCGTCCGGGGAGGCCCTGCTCTCGGTCCCGCCGGCGTCACAAGCGCGGTTGGCGGGGACGAGAGACAGGGCCTTCTCGGTGGTGGCCCCTCGGCTATGGAATGCCCTACCAGTGGACATCAGGCAGGCCCCTTCGTTGCTGGTGTTTCGGAGGAGGGTGAAGACGTGGCTCTATGAACAGGCGTTCGGATAACTATGCAATGACAACTAACTCAGTAAGACGGCATTTTGAACAAGGAACGGAAAAGGACTATGAGAACGGGATCTGACTCTAATTGAGGCGTTGATGACTATGTGTGTTGTTTGTGTATGTGCGTCTTATTTACTGTCAGTGTTGCCCATTTTTATTGTAAACCGCATTGAGTCGCCGTCTCAGGCTGATAAATGCGGTATACAAATGGAGTAAATAAATAAATAAATAAATAAATAAATAATGCAGTCTGTCTCCCGCCTAGATCCACAGCTGTTTCAATACATTGTGATGTTTTGGTGCTAAATTCGTAAATACAGTAATTACTACATAACATTACCATGTATTGAACTGCTTTTTTTGTCGATTTTTTTAAAAACATGATGTTTTGGTACTTAATTTCTAAAATCATAGTGTAATTTGACATTTAATAGGCTTTTCCTTAATCCCTCCTTATTTTCCCACTTTTTTGCTTATCCAACGTTCTGCCGGCCCATTTATGTTGGATAAGTGAGACGCTACTGTGTTTTCATCTGTTCCTTCCTTTATGCCATCAAATTCCAAGCTTAGCTTTCCTTCTCTTACTTTCTCTGGTACATCGATAAGATGTTATCTTTTTTTTCTGTTTCTCCAAAATTTTCTTCCAATGTTACTGTTCTTCCCACACGCACTTGTACTTCATAGCAGTTCTCATCTGAGTAAATGATTCTTTCAGAAAAAACCTACAACAACCCACTCTTTCAGTTCTGTTATAACTTCATCCTTAATTTTTACTAAGATCTGGATGAACCAATGTCTCATTGCTTGAATCTCTGCCAGAATATGCCAGGACCTTTAAAAAGTATGCTTGTGCACATTTTTTAATTTGTGTTCCTGTTTCATATGTATAAACCTCTTTGCTAGCCTCACAAAAGTTCATATGTCTGAGGAAAGTAATTTGTCTCACATATCTCAGGACATGCAAAATACTAAATTTATTTTGGTGTGAATTTTAAACCTATCCCCCCAAACTTACCTACTTTACATCAATGCAATATTCTGCTAATGTGCACATGAGAAATAATTCAAGACTAAAGGGAAGTTTTTTCTCTAGATTTGTGGTCCCTTTCTTTCCTCTTCCATAATAGATTCACCTTGGCACGTTTGTCTTCTAATGACTATAATATCACATGAAAATATTCATATTCAAATGATCCAAAGATAGAATTTTCATTTCTGAGCATCTCAGAGCTCATGCTTTAATATTAAATCACAGCATTAATCTGTCAGCCATCAAATGTCTGTTCATTAAGTTCAGCAACGAATTGCTAAAAAATGTTCGAATCTGGCTGAAAGAACACCATCTGAGAAGTTTACTCCTCAGTAACTGATGCAGGGGACTCTCTGTTGTTGCAAGGGAAAAGAACTCTACCTGGTTCGCCCTGTGCTTGGTTTGATAATGACACTGATAACATCGAATTCTGAAATAAACTAGATGCATTTGTGAAACAAGCTTAATTCTGGAATTAAGATGTATGAAGGACTATTAAACTTAAATCAATGGGTAGCAACCTGTTTTGACTGGTCAAATTGTTTTTCGTAATAATTGTGCATTGTAATTGCTTATTGGTAATTTATGGATAATGTGTTAAGTCAATTGTTATATGTTGCATGGAACCACTGCTGTTTCTACTGTTTTTACTGTTTGTGAACCGCTGTGAGTCGCCTTGGGGCTTGAGATACAGCGGTATATAAGCAAAGTAAATAAATAAATAAAT